AAGTGATTACAGGAAGAGACTAATGATAAGACTAGGCATATCTTTATTTCTCTTTAGTTATCATGCTAGAGTTTTATGACATTTTCAAGATATAAAGATACAAAGTTTCTTTACAAGTAGTATAAGTCTTTGTTCTTAAGTGAAGTATGAATAGTATGTTGTAGTATGAAGTGATGTGTATAATATGTTGGCTACCCAAAGTGTAATCTCAATAGTATGAACAGTATGAAACAGTGATGTTTTGGTCAATGTACAAAATATGTTTAGAGGTATTACTGGAGCTTATTTTAAAAGGATCACTGATAAGACATCCCAAGTTGGCTAGATGGTTATATTTATTATACATTAACACATTCACTTACTTAACAAATATTTATTGAGAATTTTGCAAGACTAAATTAATCTTACATTTCCATTTTAAAATAAGGATACACAGCCACTATCAACTTACTCTTGGTGTTTTCAAAATTAGAAGAATTTGTCTATATTTGTTTACCTATAGGTGACATTAGCTAATAGTACAAACATCAATGAAATCAACCTCTGCTTTACGTAAATGAGGACCAGTGAGCAGAGAGTTTCTTCATTTTTCATTTTTTAGGACTTAAAAGCTTCAGTCTTTGAAAGCTCAACCCCAGCACCCTAAAGGAGTGCAGTAATACCTCTGTGAGAAGAGCAGCCAGGCTGGAACCTGTTTAAACAGTATTCAGTATGAAAAGCTGAGCTGTCCTAGCTTTTACTTTAGATTGTTTTCCAGGAAAGCTTTTCCCTGTTATCCGACAATATTTAGTCTTCTTCATCAGAGAAAAGGTTTATCCAGAGGATGTTTTGGTGTCTTTTCTCAAGATATCACTAATTAAGAATTTCTACTCAGGGCTGGGGATTTAGCTCAGTGGTTCTACTGCCTGCCTTGCAAGTGCAAGGTGCTGAGTTCGATCCTCAGTACCAAAAAAAAAAAGAATTTCTATTCAAGAAAGTGTAGACTTTCACCAGCCTAGCATCTTTGACTCAGGGAAACTGAAATGTTAAGTAAACATTTTTCCTTAGATCTGTGAAATATTATGTCTCTCCTAAGACTGATATATGTCACAAATTGAATTCAGAAAAGGAATAAAGTGGCATTCATATATTCATCAATAAATATTTATTGAAGACATCCTACTGTGCTAAATGATGTGAAAGACAGAGGAGGCTCTAAAGATAAATCAGACATGGACCATAGCCTAAAGTAATTCACACAGTGTTTAGGATACCAGACTTAGCTATGTAAATAATTATGGTATAGGATAGTGATTCATGCTGTAAGTGGAGGTTAAAAACAAATCTCCTAACATATTTCATTGGAGGAAGTGACCAGCCTCAAAATTTGTACATCAGTAATATTCTTTCCTTTATCTTTAATCCCAGTACACCATACATAGTAAGTCTTTCTATGGGAGACAATATGAGTGTAATTGAAATTGCTATTGAAGAATTGGTAATAGAAACAAATTGTGTTACCTCTCTGGTCCTGGGAAGGTCATCAAGCTTCAATAATCCTCATCCATATGCTATGTGGAGTTTTATGGATGGTCCCTTCCAGATGGGGCTATCAGGCCACCTGGGTCTGGATATTACAACTTTAAAAGCAGTTTCCAACCATTAGCTTTATGTTTTGTTTGGTTGGTTGTTCTAGACAGAGTCTCACTAGTTAGCCCGATCTGGCCTTGAACTCACAATCTTCTTGCTTCAGCCACTCAAGTGCTAGAACTGTAGGCATGGGCCACTGCACCTCTCCATTACCTGTTAATCATTACTCCTAGGGCACTGTGGAAAGTGCAGCCAGGACACCAGAGTTCTAATTCTGCTCAGCTTTCTCTGCTGTAAAATGAGTGCTCTGGTGGCTAGATTCTTGCCAAGTGTCTTTGTACAGCTGGATGGGTAAGGCAACTTTTATTATCATCATTTTAAAGATAGGGAAACTAAGTTCAGGAACCCTAAGGAACTTGTCCAAGAACCAAAGTAATAATTAATATCCAATACTTGAGATTAGACACCAGAGCTATAAGGATAAAGCATATTCTTCGATGTCATACTCAGAACCACACCTTTGTGTGAGTATACAGGCAGGCCCATACAGCATTATCTAAGTATTTGAGTTATAAATCAAGATAAGAAACTGAAAATATGATCTATCCTTCCACCTTAAGAAATACCTCTCCACAAGGACCTGGACAACCAAGATATGAATCAGGACTTCTTGGACTCTCCCTAAGGCAGATCTAGACTTTATAAGGGAGGATAAAACTGACCTTGACACTTCTTGCTGCACCAAAGCACCTAAGAGTGCACACCCCAATAAAAAGCCATTTCTTGACATAAGGTTGAAATCAGTCCCATATAGATTCCGGAAGCGAGTTTGGCACCATGTGGGATGAGCTTTCCAGAGTTCAGAGTATCTGGAGTCTGGTCTAGAAGAGGGTTCAGCATCTAGATGGTCATTACCTCGGCCCTGTGGGCAAGGGGACTGCCAGGGGCTGGTGGTAAGCAGAGGTTTCTCTTGCTTGGTTCTAAGAGCCTGTCTGATTATACTGTCTCTAGGTTCTACCTAAAAATGAGTAAAAACTGAGAAATTTCTTGTAAATGCGTCTGACCCGTTACTGTTGAGACCAGGCTCTGCAGCCAAACACTTGGTTGGAACCTAAGCTTTGTCACTTTCTAGCTGTGGAATCTCAAGCAAGTTACTGAACATTTTAGGGCTTCGGTTTCCTGTCTGTAAAATGTGTACAGTAATAATTGGCAGACATTAAACACTGGGTAAGGGTTGGTGAGAGTCTATCCAGCTACATTACAAAAGAATGTCTGAGAGATTTTCCTGGAGAATTACATAAGCATAATGATATCCAAACACTCCAATAGTTAAGGTGAAAGCCCTCGCTGCACTAAAAGACATGGCAGGGCGCAGGGGTGAGAATCCCTTAGCCCAAGACAGAGGCTGCGGCCCTCGTCCGCCCAGTACCACGTCCTGGGTCACTTCCCGCTGCGGAGCTAGAGGTAGTCAGGGGTTTGCAAGATAACTCGAAAACGAGGCCATGAATCACGGTTAGACTAGGAAGTGAAACCAAGTGTCACCACACCGGCTGGTTCATCCCTCGGATGAGGACGGAGGGCAAGGGCACCAGATAGAAAGGGCAGGTCACGGAGCCAGGTTGACGCTGAAATCCCTCCCCACCCACTTAGGGCTCACGCTGCCAGCGCCTTCTGCAGACAAGTCTTGACGTCTCTCCTGGTGGGGAACCGGGGAGACTCGGAACAAGTCAGGGCAGCTCCCTCGCGCCTCCGCGAAAGCGAGCCAAATCTAGCGACTACCCACCCAGTAGCGCAGACGTTTCCCGAGAGGCAAGCCTGGACATTCCCCCTCAGTTCTCCAGGTGAAACGAATTCCAAGTGGCTCATTTCTCATCTAGTGCCCTCCCCCTCCTTGCAAAAAATCGTGGAAACTGTTCCTTGCACACCAAGAACTGTAATCAGCCTTAGCGGTTTTCCCTTCAGGGGACAGTCGTGACTGGGCAACGAGAAGTCAGACTCTCTCTAAAGAACCAACAAAGGACTGACTATATTTAGTTCTGAGCTCTCCGCCTAAATTCCTCTTCCTTTTTCACTCTTAGCTTCAAAACGACTGGGTTGGGGAAGTGGGAGGAAGGGGGCGGGGGAGCGGCGGAGAAAGAACAGCTGTGCCTCTGCCTCCCAACTCAATCTCTATAAATAACCAATCGCCAGCGGAGGCTACTTTTCAGCCAATGAAGCAGCCCAAACTGAGAAAACCTTGGCCGCAGCCAATAGGAAGACACTTCGGGGTGTAAGACTCGCGCCCTAGGACCAATAGGTTCAGAGTCTGGGAGAGGTAATTTGAGACAGAGTGTGGGTGTGTGGTGCAAAAGCTTCCTACTTCCAAACCCGAAAAGCTGCTGTGCTGTTTGAGCAAACCCTGACTGCGGGCACCCCGAGACTACTGGATTGGGAAGCCGTCCGCTTTCCGGGTTTTGGCCAGGGCCTGGGGTGGGGGTGGGGGGGCCGTCCGGGCCGACCGGGTAGCGCTGGGTCCCCAAGGGCCACTCCATCCCTACTCGGGACAGTGTCACAGGCGGAGTCCCTCGAGTTTTCTTTGTCCCGGGAGTACAGAGCAGGAAGAGCCGGCCAACTGGGTGGCGAGGTGCGGCCTGCAGACATACACCCGCCCGGGGCCCGGGGCAGGCGTTCACGCCTGAGGACCGGGGCTGGCCCAAGCACGGCCCATTCCGTCCCGCAGAGCCGCAGAGCCGTGGAAGAAGGCAGCTGCCGCCCTCTCCTCCGAGCTGTCCCAACTCCCTATGCACAGACGGTTCCTCATCCCGTTCTAGGGCTTGCCGCACTCCGAATCCGCTCCTCTGCACTCAAATCAGGAGCCCGGCCCACCGTCCCGCCCCCGCCCGACCCAGCAGAAAACCAGGAACGGAAGTTCGGGCGGGGCGCGGCCGCTCGCACTGGGCATGCTCGCCCCGCCGGGCAGGGAGGGGACGGGAGGGCCGGGCTGCGCGCGGCGAGTAGGAAGCCCTCGCCCCGCGGAGGCTGCGGGCGAGAGCGCGATGGGCCGAGGCGGTGGGCGCACGTTCCGCGGCGATCCATGCCACGCGTGGCCCGGCCCAACGCACAATTAGCAGCCACCTCCGCAGCGCTCCGCCACCTCCGCTTCCCAACCTCCCGGGCGGCCGCGGCGAAGAACCCCAGCCGTCGCCTCGCGCAGGCAGCCGGCATTGTCCTCCCTCCCGGTCCGCCACCAGGGTTGCCGCCGCGAACTGCTGCGGGGCCCCGTACCCGCGCCCGGTGAGCACCCCGCCGCCCGCGCCGGGTCCCGGGTGGTGATCACTGCGCCCCGAGCTCCTGAAGCAGCCCCTCCTGGGTTTTTCCTGCGGAGTGAGGAAGGGGAGCAGTCCAGCCACCAAGCCCAGCCTTCCCAGGCGCGCAGCAGCCCCGACGGGGCCGCGGCGGGCGTGGGGAGAGCGCTGAGGGAGCCATGAGAGAGTACAAAGTGGTGGTGCTGGGCTCGGGCGGCGTGGGCAAGTCCGCGCTCACCGTGCAGTTCGTGACGGGCTCCTTCATCGAGAAGTACGACCCGACCATCGAGGACTTCTACCGCAAGGAGATAGAGGTGGACTCCTCGCCGTCGGTGCTGGAGATCCTGGACACGGCGGGCACCGAGCAGTTCGCGTCCATGCGGGACTTGTACATCAAGAACGGCCAGGGATTCATCCTGGTCTACAGCCTCGTGAACCAGCAGAGCTTCCAGGATATCAAGCCCATGCGGGACCAGATCATCCGCGTGAAGCGGTACGAGCGCGTGCCGATGATCCTGGTGGGGAACAAGGTGGACCTGGAGGGCGAGCGCGAGGTCTCCTACGGCGAGGGCAAGGCTCTGGCCGAGGAGTGGAGCTGCCCCTTCATGGAGACATCGGCCAAAAACAAAGCCTCGGTGGATGAGCTGTTTGCCGAAATAGTGCGGCAGATGAACTACGCAGCGCAGCCCAACGGCGACGAGGGCTGCTGCTCGGCCTGCGTGATCCTCTGAGGCGTCCGCGGTTGCTGAGCGCTGGCCCCGCTCTGTGCACAAAAGCCAAACGCATCCGACTCTAAATGTGATTTCTGTTCTTGCTTTGAGATTGGAGACGACTTTGTATTGGTCGGGATGTCCTGGGAGCCCTACTGGCTTCCTTGGCCAGCATCCCCTGCCTTGTTCACCTCTTGTTCGAGGGGGTTGTCCGGTCCTGACCATCTGATACCCTGGTGGAAATGTGGCTCTTTGCAACATGTACGTTTCTCATTGATGTTTGGTTGACGCATATTTCCCCATTTAAGTAGCCATTAGGGCGTTGTATTGGCAGCTTGACACCCGGCAAGCAAAAGTTTCAGCTTGGAAAAAATGGGGTTGGGAGGTGGGGGAAGTGGAAGGGAAGGTGGAAAGGGGGGAATCCCCCCTCCATCTTTTGTTGTCAACAACTGTTTTCTATTTTCAAGTTTTACACACGTCGAAGGAAGTCCGGGAAAACCGTATGAAGGAGCAGGAGGAGAGGAAGAAACTTTTGTTTTTTCCCTTATTTTCCAGGAATAGCTGGAAATTAAAATCGGGTTCCTTTTCTACCAGCTTGGAAGGGCAACCCTGTGACTGCGATTCTGAGGATGTCTATGCAAAGTTGGATTCTTGTTACAGTGTATCCAATCTGAAGTATTGCACATCTGAACTGGGACTGTTAACACTGATGCCAATACAGTGTGGGGTGCCAGAAAGTGTCTGCTGATATTTGTGGAAAAAATCTATTTTGTTTACCTACTGTATCAAAGGGGAGTCTGGGGGAGAATGGTAGTATTTTTTTTTATCAGCTGTGAAAAAAAAATGTTACAGATCTGCACAGTTTTGTGTGTACTATTGTGTGTGTGTGTGTTTTTTAAGTTTAGCTTTCTTTTTCTTTTGGTTGGTGGTAACAATTTTAAAGACTAGCTTTTAAAAACACAATACAAAGACTTTGTAAATGTGATTCAGGGCCCCCAGCACCCCTGTGTCTGCAGAGTGCCTTCAAAACTCAGCTGTTCCAGCCGGTGCCAACCTGTGAACTTCCCACATCCCAGAATCTGCTATTCCCCAAACCACTTCCCAGTTTCCTTTCAGTAATCTTCCTGAAGGAGCCAGGACAATAGGGCCTGTTGTTTAGTGAATTTCTTTATCATTTTCCGCATTTTAAAATGTCCATGTCTTGCAATATTTTTTCCTTTTTTTTTTAACCTTTGTTCAAATTTCAGGTATTTAGTTCCCCTTTTATATTACTTTTTAAATGTTTTGATTAACTCTCAGAGGGTATTCCTCCAGAAGAAGCAAAGAGCAAAATTTCACCATTGTGATGTATCAAGAAAATTCTAATTGTAATTTTTAATTCCTCTCATTTAATCATTGTCTCTTCATTTTAAGACTTTTAATACAAACGTCATTTTTAAAGAAACAACCCCAGAACTATTGTTTGTGTTTCTGTATTTCATATTCAGTGGTTTACGGTATCAGAATAATAGTATCATGGCTGAGGCGGGCAGGGGCAGGTGAATGATGTCGTCAGAGTTGTCGAATTTTGAAGACGTATCTCAGTGACAAGTTGGGTGATATTTCCAACTTCTTAAATGGGGAGAAAATCCTCAGTGTCTAGGAAGCCCTGGGTAAGGCTATACAGTCTCACTACAAGATGAAAAGGTATATTTTGATTCTGTTCTGCTGACATGGAGCAATTTATTCCACTCTAAGTAGGGAAAGGAAGAAACCAACTTCTAATACTGCCTTAGATCTGGGACAGTAACCATCTGGCAAAGTAGGGTGACACCTTTTGTTTTTAAGTTGTTGTGTGTCACATATCAAGTCTAAAGTTTGGGAAGCATAGTTTCTAAATCTGAAGTCGTACTTTGTGCATTTTGCAGTGTATCTATATGGGTTATAGACAATATTCTAACCATTTCAAGGTTTTCATTTGGAAACATTGTTAGATTACTTAAAAGAAAAAAGCTAAGAAACTTCCCTTGCTGTCATTACACTGCTGTTTGTGGACGGACCATATCTGACCTTATAAGTTTTCTTTCTAACAGTAGGAGGCAGTGTGAGCTTTTCTATTTATTTTTCTTAAAAATGTCTTTAGTCAGAACAGAATAAGAGAAAAATCCATGTGTGTGTGTGTGTGTGTGTGTGTGTGTGTGTGTATTTGCAGTACTGGGGACTGAACCCAAGGCCTTCACACTGAGCTACATCCCCACCCATCTTTTAAATTTTTCAGTTTGAGACAGGGGCTCACTAAATTCCTAAGTTGCTCAGCTGGGCTGGATCTTGGGATCGTCCTGCCTCAGCCTCCTTGCATTGTGTGTATACATTAAGAGTACTTGATATATCTTAGGTTTATGAAGTGTAACTGAAGCCTGACAAAGGGATTTATTCCCTTGGCAAAGCCAAAAGAATTTACAGGTCAGAGTTTCTCTGAGCTGCATTAACATATCTTGCCTTAAACTATGTTTTTTCCCACGAGGCATTTCAATATTCAGTGTGAGGATGACCAGTTTGTCCTGTAATGGTCCTAATGCCATTTTTTTTCCACTCTGAATCAAAACTTAAACATAATTGGAAGGCAATATCATAAATATTCTAAATAGAAAAAATTGAGGGAAATTTCTCAAATTATGTCTTCGCAAAGATTTATTCTGGCATTTGAATAAATTTAGTGGTTTAAATAGATCTAGAATGTTGAAAATTTTGAAGATGTTTCAAGTACTGTCTGAAGGATTTCTTTGAAAAGCTATTTGTTGACTTATTATGATGTGGGAACCTTTTGACAAAAATGCTGCCAAGTATACAGCTAATTTAAGAAATGTATATACTCCTGACAGGAAGTATTTGAAAGTGGAAAATTGGAAATAAATAGATTGTTGGATGCATTAATCATCTCCATACAGGATTTAGTCACTTGCATGACTAAATTCTTTGTAGGTGTAGGATGGCAGAGGAGATTTTAATATGTCTTTACAAACTACTGTAACAAATGCTTTCTGCTTCTCGATTACAACAATTTTGTGTGTGCCTGGAGCAAGAAAATAGTTACAAACTCTGAGCTCTTTGTCCATTAATTTCTTAACAAAATTGAAATTTAGAGACATTCCTTTTACTTAAGAAAAAATGTTTTTAAGAATACATCAGTTGATGTGGCCAGAGGAACCCTTCTGGTATTATGGTGGGGAGAGGTGAGAGCATTTGTTTCAGTGAAGAAGTTGGGCTGAGTTAAGAGTGTTAAAGGAAGTGAGTCTAGGAGGGAGGGGTTTGTTGTCAGGCAATTGCCTGTCAAAACAGAAATTGGATGGGGAAAGAGCCTTCTTGGGAAGCAAAACCTGACTATTAAACTTGACCCCTGCTGTTTTTTTAACAGCTTTTCCTTCAGTCCATGACAGTTAATCCAGGTTTTGTGTCATTTCAAAGAATTGTTTTTTCCTCCTTTTGTAGCCTCAGGAAAGTTAAGGTATCATCTCAAGTCTAAGACTTCATATTTGGGAGTTGCGGTTCTTGGATAAAACAATTTCCATATCGTTAACTGTTGAAATAGACTTCATTAAATCACATTTTGGAACCATATCTATTTGAGATTAGAATCTTCTTTTAATATATGAGATTTCATGTTTCCTGATTAGTTACATATTCCCTGTAGATGGAAGCCTAAAATGCTTCAGCTGTTTGAACTGTAGTTTTGTTGCAGCACTGCCTTTTAAGTGATATCCAGGTATTTATTTGTCACAGGGAAAATGGGAAAGTGAGAAGAGGCTGTGTATAGTAACTGGCCTTGTGAAATAGATGCAAAATATCTGCACCTTAACTGTCAGAAAGCATGAGTTATTTTTTTACAAGTGTCAGTATAAATCTCTACATTATAAATGTGAAAGGAACCAAGATTTAATGTGGAAATTACCTCTGTTAGTTAATATATCAAACACTTGTCACTGTGCTTAATTATGCAAAGTTTGCTAATATAAATTTTGTCTTTATGAAAATGCAAATTTTTAAATACTAACAGAGGTGCTATTCATTAAAGCATTTTATCTAGACTATTGAAATCATTGAATGCACTCAGTCGAATATGGCACTCATTGTAGATGAAATGATTGATTTAATCATAGTAGGATTTTGATTTGAGAAGGCTTTAACGATCATCTAGTTCAGAGGTTCTAAAACTTGACCACATATTAGAGTCACTTGAATTTCAGAACACATGTTGCTGGGCCCTCCTCCAGTTTCTTATTCATTGGATCTAGGATTGCATCTCATAATTTCCATCTCTAGAAAATTTTCAGCTGATGGTCCTATTGCCGGCCTGGGGACCACATGCTGAGAACCAATGATTTGGTTCAAACTTCCAAATGAGTACTATATCTAGAGCTGCCCAGGTGTTTGGAGGCACGGACTTAAGACCCGTGTATACATTCTAGAGTGCTCTCTACACAGCTATAAAATAATGTCTATAAGGGGTGGGAGGTAGTTAAGTGGTAGAGCACTTGTCTAGTATGTATGAGGCCCTGGGTTCAGTTTTTTAAAAATCTCCGTAGAAATTTACAGCTAAAGAGGACACAATCAATTGCACTAAAACTGTTCAACTGTGGTTTATGAAATAATGTAGACATTGCAGGTAGTTTTTTTATCATTTGCACCTTATGATATGAACAATTTGTGGTTTCAGTGCTAATTCAGAGTTGGCTTGAAAAGAGAAAATAATTATAAATAGAAGCATAGTGTTATTGATCAACATACCATCCCCAATCCTTGAAAAAAACAATTTTGAAAATAATATCTTTGACAAAAGGGAATACTTTAAACTAATTGTCTAATCTTTGAACTTAAAAATGCAATGTTTTAATTTTTCATGAAAATAAATTGTGTTAGAAAATTTAAATTATCAGGTTGTGCGTTTTAAGCACACATGTGTGTCTTAGATTTCTAGCCACAAGTTAATTCATTCTCATGTAGTTCTGTTGTTATCTATTCTTGGAAAAATATGTACCTCAAAACTGTACCATACTTCTTATTTTGTTATTCATGGAAATTCCCATAACTCTGTTAACAGATCTGGGTTTAATGGTACTTTGGGGAGCTTCCAAAATTTTAGTGAGTTGAAAACTAATAACAGTGGAATTGCTCCTTACAAATTTCTTATTTACAATTCCAAGAGTTGAGTACGAGTTCATAGGCTGAAGGAGTAATAGCTAAGTTTTAGAAGTTGGAATAATAACATGTTTGAGTAGGGAGAAAGAACTTTACTCAGATCTTACTCATTTTTAATATTTTTTGCACTTGGATTATTTGCTTGCCTTTCAATAGTAATAATAATAGAAGCTGAATAATTATTGAGTATGGTAGGTTTTTGTCTCTTCTACCATTGATTGCTTTAAGATGCACATAAAATGAAATGACTGTGTTTTTATTTTTTAAATTTAGTTTGCCCATTTGGTAAAAGAACATTCTTATATGTTGATCTAAGTTTAAATTTTACTTTAAAAGTTAAAGCATTTATGACTGATAGTTTGATATCTATGACAGTTTTAGAGGGCTCCATAGTGGAAAAGCTACTGCTAATAACAGTGTAATGAAACTCTGACTGTTACATTTTTATCTTGGCTTTCATTTTATGGTTATTTCTACTATTAATTTGGATTGCTGCTCCTTGATTTTGTTAAACTGTTGAACTTTTCAGGTTATATTTATTTTGGGATAATATATTTGAAAGTGTCCTGTATTATGAACTCATTTACCATGTCTAAGACAATCAGAATTATTTTATAGTTCATTCTAATACTGGTTAACATTTATTAGAACTGAACTATTTTACTTAAAGAGAAGAAAATAATAAAGGGATGACAAGTTCTGAAGCCTTAATTAGTGAAATTATTTGACTTGAGAACCAAATAGCTAACTAGCATACAGAGGAAAAACAAAATGGCCTTATTGCTTTTGGAATTGTGAGTGTTCATCTGTTGGATAAATTGGAGAGAATACCAGCTTATATTCTTTCCTGTTCAATTGACCAAACTTACTCTTTTTAAAATGAATTTTGCAAGATTATGTGAGACTAAGTTTATCAGAGTTTTGAAAATGTGTGGTTGGCTTATTTGTGGTAATTGTGAAAAACTGCAAGGCCAACAAAAAAAAATTTTAATAGAAAAAAAGAAAGATTATTGGTGCATTGAGAATATAGGTGTCAACCCAAAAGGCCTGAGATTGTTCCTTTATTGTTAAGAATTGCAATGGAAGTTGTCAAACATAGCTGAAATAGATTCATTATTTAAGAAACATTTACTTGAGCACATACTACTATTTGTGATGTGAAGACTAATGCTTAACTGAATGAAAGTCCTTTAACGCTTAAACAGCAACAACTATGCTTTTTTTTGCTTTTAGCTGCAAGAATAACATATTGATAGCATATAGAAAAGCATATCTGCATGTGA